CACCTGGAGAATGAGGGAATTTATTTCAAATTTTAAGTCAGCATGAGGCGCCCACCTGGAGAATGAGGGAATTTATTTCAAGTTTTAAGTCAGCATCAGGCGCCCACCTGGAGAATGAGGGAATTCATTTCAAGTGTTAGTCATCAGGCGCTCGCCAGGAGAATGAGGGAATTCATTTTAAGTTTCAAGTCATTAGCAGGCGCCCACCTGGAGAACAAGGGAAGTCATTTCAGAATTCACTTAGAGTTCGAGTTAGAGGCACCAGGAGCCCGCCTGAAGAACAGGGTCAACTTTCAATTTTCAAGTTCAAGTTAGAGGCAGCAGGAGCCCGCCTGAAGAACAGGGTTAATTTTCAGTTTACAAGTTCAAGTTAGAGAGGCATCAGGAGCCCGCCTGAAGAACAGGGTCAACTTTCAATTTTCAAGTTCAAGTTAGAGAGGCATCAGGAGCTCGCCTGAAGAACAGGGTCAACTTTTAATTTTCAAGTTCAAGTTAGAGAAGCATCATGAGCCTGCCTGAAGAACAAGGTCAATTTTCAGTTTACAAGTTCAAGTTAGAGAGGCATCAGGAGCCTGCCTGAAGAACAGGGTCAAATTCAGTTTTTAAGTTCAAGTAAGAGACAGCAGGATCCCGCCTCAAGAATATGGGCAATCTTCAGTTTTTCAATTCAAATCAGAAGTAGCGCGCGCCGCCTGAATAACAACTTTTGCAAGCTCAAGTCTACCGCAAGTTCAAGTTTATTTCAAGTGCAAGCAGCAGGGTGCCCGCCTGAAGAATAAGGTCAACTTTCAGTTTTTTTTCAAATTCAAGTCAGCAGGATGCCCACCTGGAGAATGGGGTAAATTTTCAGTTTCATATTAAAGGATCAAGTGGAGATTCAAGGAAGATTCAAGACAAGAACTAGAGGATCTTGTATTTTTCTTTTACTTTTGTTGTAATTTTTGCTTTCAATTCATGATGTAATGGCAGGGACTGCTGATCGGAACCTCGACGGAACGGTACCTCACTCGACTCTCTCATCCTCTCCACACACTCCATCACTTCTGAACTACACGTGACCTGATTCCTTTATAGCCAAGGATATGTAGGCAGCTTAGATACCAGGGCTCAGTCACAATCTTTTACCCATATTTATTTTCTTTTGAATAAGTGTCGGGTCAGAAATCAATTACGTCGCTTACTTGTTTCTTTGCTCAAAAACACTTCGTGTTTCCAAGCAAAGAGGGGCAGCTGTAAGCACATAATTTTTGACCCGCACATTAGAATTACCTTTAATAGTCCTAGTATTTTTAGAATATTTATTTGAGTTTATTTTTATAGGACTTCCCTTTATTATTAATTTTAATTCTATTTTAAAGCATAAAAATTGAAAAATACAAAAATAGTTTTATTTTTTCTATTTAATTCAGGTATTAGGTATTTTTATAAGGATATTATTTTTAACCCATTTTTTATTTTATTATAATCCTTGAAAATACCAAAAAGAGTTTCATGTCATAATATAGTTGTTTTAATTAATTAGGATTGATTTTATATTTTTATAGTATGATATTTTAGGGAAAAAAATTAATATTTTAGCTTTGTAGAATTAAAGGGCCACTTTAAAGGCAAATTTGGCCCAAACTTGAGCCCAACTTCTGGCAGCCCACTCCTCCCTTCAGCCCATGTACCCATTCTCTAACCCACAACCTTTTTATAATAAAAATAAAACCTAAATCCCGAGACCCCAGAGTAGGCTTGTCTCCTTCCAGAGTTTCATCCATTTCTTTCTCAGATGAACACACACCTCAACGAAAAAAAAAAAATACCGCCTCCTTCAAGNAGGACTCAAATCCTCTCCGCCAAAGCAGCGACCACCATCACAGTCCTCTATCACTTTCTTTGCCAAAGCTTCAATAAATTACAAAGCAGAGATGGGTTAAACATTAAGGATAAGTTTAGGGTTAAATCTAACTCCGATGAAGGTTGTCGTTGAGGTCTTGAGTTGCCGGTTCCGTCTGGATTCACCGGCAAAAGCTCCGGTCAGAGGTTCACTCTTGTTCGAATTTTAAAAGAAGCTGTCCAGCAATTGTAAAGGTTCATTATCTTCTACTCTTAAATAAATTTCGTAACTTCGACTAGCCTTAACGGTGTTTCATTGAGTTACCTGTTTAATTATGTTAATGTGAGATGAACGAAACTACATTGGCCACGTTAATTTTGATAGTTTCTGTTTTCATTAATGTGTTAATGAGGGTTCTGTTTCGATGAAATTTAATACTAAAAATTTGGTAAGGTTTGCTACTTAAAACTTTAGTTTCATATGTTTACTTGCATTAAACATGAATTTCACGTTGATATTTTCTTATTCTGACTTAAAAGGTTGATCTCCGAAAGCTTGCTCTCGCTGTTGTTTGTTTTAATCTTTTCTATAATGCACATGTGAGGCCCATTACCATTCTTTTGTGCTGATTAGTGTAGTTAAATAGCTTTTTTTTTTTGCTCTAAAGGAAAAGCAAAGCAGCTTTAACTTTGAGAAGGATACTGAAATACTATTGATTTATCTTTGTGAATTTTACTTGTTAATTGCTCTATATTTCTCTACACATCCTAAAGCTGCTACATTTTTGTTTCTTTATGTTTTTAAGCTAGGGATAATGTTGTGTTCTTACAACGCTTGATACGGTTTAGGCACTTTAGGCGCAATTAATAATAAATCATCGTGACCATGGGTACGGTTCCTGTGTCATGGTCACGATCCATAAATCCAAATTCAGGTGTGCATTTCATGTGACCCGAACGTAACTTCTCATAGTAATAAAAATAAACATGTCGTAAACCGCGGGTGCATTTCATGTGGTGCAGTTTGTAATGTGTACCAAAACGACAAGTTTATGACATCGTGACTTGTTCCAGAAATAATTTCATAAATATTAAATGCGGTTCATAAGTAAAAAATGCACAATAGGTTTCAAACATGCAATAAATCAGATAATTAGGCCAATTATTAATAGTTGAGTGACCGTGCTAAAACCACGGAACGCGGGAGTGCCTCACACCTTCTCCCGGGTTAACAAAATTCCTTACCCGGTCTTCTGGTTTCGTGGACTTTAAAACAGAGTCCAATTTCCTCGATTTGGGATTTAAAATAAACCGGTAACTTGGGACACCATAAATTATTCCAAGTGGCGACTCTGGATAAATAAATAATCTCATTTTGATTAATGTCACTTTAATTGAAAAAACTCTCTTATTCCCTATCTCTTCGGAAAAAAAGAGGTGTGACACACGTGTCATAACATATTTTACCCAATACAATGGATATCTCGAATAATCTCTCGTCTGATATGAATTTTCCACGGGAATGAAAACAAAAAATGGGGAAGATTTTCGGGTTGCACTAGGTGGAATGGAGGAGGAAGAAAGGGAAAGAAAGTGAAAATTGGAGCCTAATACATTACTTTAAATACAATTGATAATTATGTATATGATATATAATTAAATGAGAATCGGCCTTGCTAATAATGATAATTAGGTTCATAATATAACATAATTAGGTAAAGTAATCCGTCCTAAAAATATTATTTGTGCACTTTGCCTCGGACCGTAGTAGTTGGAATCAAAATCAGATTTTGTTTGTTTATTCAAACCATAAGTGAAATATTTAGCTAAAAATAAAATAACAAATCACACATAATTAAAAAGGTATTACATAGACGGATCATTGAAAATATTAAGGACAAAATAGACGTTACATAGAATAGGTAGATAAGAATGTCTTTTCTTCAAATTAAAAGGAGGAGTTTGAGTTTTAATAAAATAAAAAATGTAAATCATGATTTTTGCCTAAAATTGAATTAAGTGAAAGAATGTAAATAAGACATAGTAAAAATGATTCAGGGTGAGATATTTTTATGGGACCGATGGAAGACAGATTTTTTCGTCTCACTGAATTGGCCTTTGATCTATCTAAAAATTGGAACAACCACATCGAAAAAGTTCAGCAGTGGATTACGACATATCCGTAACATAGTTGGAATCAAATCAGATACTAACTACACCACCAAAGGTCAAGCTTTCCCTTGAAGAATTAGATCGACTTGCAATGACAGAGTGAAGAGCTAAAGAAAAAATATCGTTGCCTTTTCTTTTCCCACATCTCCATCTTATTTTTCTCCCAATTATTCTAGTTGCAAATGGAATTAGCTAGGGAGAAAAAAAATAGTATAATTTGCCAGTCAATTTTGCAAACAGAAGCAAACAAATGATCAGAAGTGACACAAATGAAAAGGTCCATAATGAAATCCGTGTTCCTACCGCGTATCTGAAACCAGTGGTTGAAATACTTTTAATTAAGCAATATCATCTGCTACTGCTTTACAGAAAGTTCCTTTCTAGAAGGTACAATATTATGTAAATACAGAATATCGACTGACAACGTTTGAAAATATAAAATAAATAGTGATCACAGTTTCAAATTCAAATTCATCTAAATTTTCCTTGACGGACACAAAATTCAGCCAACATCACTGTCAAAAACAACCGATCGAATATGCTTCAAAATAAACCTCCCTCTCCTAAGGATTGGATAAAGCCTATGTCAAATTGAACTCATTTTCCTCAGCCTAATCCATGCCTTCACCTTTAATTAATTTTTTGTTCAAATACGTTTCATGCCACCGACTAATGGCCCCTTTGTCCGTTTCTTCCCTTGGGGATCTAGACTTTTCTCCGTGAAGGTAATTACCGTGCCTGACCTTAGCCTAAAAGCGTTGAACATCAAGAAATATCCATTCTAGCTATTTCATCGTTATTATTGTTGTTATACTATTGTTATTTAAGCAGTCAAATAAAGTTGTAGTTGATCATAATTTTTAATTATTTCAAAGAAAAACAATTGTGATTTGTATTTCTTATTACATATTTTCTAAGTATATAAATTTTTTAAAAAAAACTAAAAATCAATATCAAAATGCACATAAAGAGGAAAAAGATTGGCATCTCGTACTTTAAAGGTTATTACAGTATTCTTTTTTCCCTTTTATATAATGTTATCGATCAGATACAGGATTCAGAAATGTCACTTTATACTAGCGATGACAATTGGAATAGTAATTTCATATATATAGAATAATGTCAAGCATTTAGACCAAAGGACACAAATGGAACTTCCTGACAAACAAATATCATTGGTTGCTGCTTTTCCTAAACGTCAATTATGTTAGATCGATTACGTGCTATAAATACTCAACTCCAAAATCATCGTTTGCCCACACTGCTAGTTAAATCCAACTATTTATTGTTTCTCAACATACATATAGTTCCTTCTAGATTACTCTGGTGTAGTTTCCCTTCTGAAAATGGGATCACGATACGAAGTTGAAGTAAAGATAACCTCAGCCAACGATTTGAAGAACGTCAACTGGCGTTACGGTCCCCTGAAGCCGTACGCAGTTGTCTGGGTTGACCCCAACGCTAAATGCTCTACTAAAGTCGACGAAGACGGCGATACATCTCCTTACTGGAACGAAAAACTCGTCGTCCCTTTGAATTCTCCGATCGACGATTCCACCTTGTACATCGACATCGTTCATGCGAACGCTGTCGAGGACACCAAGCCTCTCATCGGATCCGCTAAGCTTCCCCTTAGCAAAGTCGTCGATGATATTGGCATAGGTGGTGAGCTGGAGTGTACGCTCCAGCTCAAACGCCCTTCTGGTCGCCCTCAGGGAAAGGTACAAGTGGAGGTTAGCGTACGAGATCAGCCACGCTATCGTGCACCAGATGCGTATTATGCACCTCCGTACGGTGTCCCGCCCCCGTCGCAACCTTACGGTAGGGACTACGGGGCTCCGTACACTGCGCCTCCAACTGGTTATCCTTACAGCGCCACAACTCCTCCTTACGGGCAGCCGGCATACGGGGAGGGAAGCTACGGGCAGCTATCTGGTGGGTACGGTTACGAAGAGGAGAAAAAGAAGAGCAAGTTTGGGGGAATGGGGACAGGATTGGCTGTGGGTGCAGTAGCAGGGGTATTGGGTGGAGTGGCGTTGGCGGAGGGCGTCGACCTCTTGGAGGACAAAATCGCCGATGACGTGGCGGAGAAGGTGGAGGATGATCTCGCCGACGACGATGGGGACTACGGTGGAGATGACTTTTAGGAAATGTTCTTACAGTCTTTTGCCTAAGTTCCTTTTGGCTCCTTTACTTTTCAATTTGCTAATATTCCAAGAGTATTTTTGACTCTATGAGTAGTACATTCTGATAATGAGTGGGAAAAAAAAACAAAAAAGGAGAAGGGAATAAATAAAGATTTATTATGAAAGTAAAAGCATGGATGCTAATTATTTTGGAGTGTATACAATTTGTTGTGAATGTACAGTTATGTGTGTTAAAGTAAGTGCTCTATTTGCTTTTGACTTGGTTTTGGAAGTTTATCCTGGAAATAATTTACAAAATAATAATCCCGGCCATGTGATTATTAACTATTTCAATGAAATTAAGTAAATAGAAATATCAGTCATTGTGCTTCTATGATTTATTAAAATTTATTTATTTAGTAAAAAACAAAAGAAAAATGATATTTAAATTCACCCCGTTAATTCGACGCGTACATTAACCTTATATACAGTGTAATCTGAATTTTGTCAATTTTCTTGGGATAGAAGCAGTAGTTAATTATATGGAAGAATTAATTTGTATTTACTTAAAAAAGTTATTCGATAAACCAAAAGTTAACAATTTATTCAAACACATGATGTTTTGAAACAAAAGGTTATCTACCTAAACGTTTTTGGTCGTATACATATAGGATAAAATTGGTTCACATTAAATGCTCGAATGACAGAGTGACACGGGGAATCAGGGACAGACGGAAGATAAAGCGAGTGAAAATCAAGACCGAGGACAACAACTTCAGTTGGCATCGGGTAGACCTCGAAGGGAACTTTATCAACGAGAGCAAACAAATATTTGTCACCAGATGACATTCAGTGAAGAATATTTCTCAATATTAAATACGCATCCGTCACAGAGAATTTTGGCATTCATGACCTGCCGTTACATATTCATCAATGACCCCCATTATTGTCATTTAAGATGGGCTTGATCCTAGAACCTTATTCCCTAGGTATAACTATAAATAGTGACTTCAACAACCATTGTAACACACGAAAATTCTAACAAACTTATGCTACACATTATTCTAAGCTAAATAATACTTTATTTTCTGTGTAACGTTATCTTTATTACTGCCTTCGGAAGCCTTGTTCCCGGAACCAAGATATCTGCAATTCAATTTCGATTTCAACGCTAAGTCTTGTATTTTATTTAATTTATTTATCATTAGGATCAAATCGATTCGCTTGTCTATAAACTACTCTATAAATTCAACTATTCCATTTTACGACTAAACAGTTTGACGCCCATCGTGGGGCTTAGACAGTTGTGTAACTGAGTTGATCCCTACATCTATTACTAATTTGTTTGATTCTTTGTTTCTTAGAAAAATCGTAAAAGATGTCAGTTAACAATGTCAACATCTCACACAACGTTGAGGCACAAGAGAATCTGCCTCAACATGAGGATTCGATCAGCGACACCCTTAACGAGGAGGACGTAGCAACGCCGGTTCATGGCGGGCGATATCACCGACACCCGCAACATCTGATGATGCTGAAGACAAGCACGTTGCGGAAATGGTGAGGATCTTAGAGAACAACTAAAGGCCATCATGGGCCATCTCTCACGACAAGACCAGGCCATGACAGAACTAAGGCAAGCGTTGTCGGGCGCTTCCAACAATGTGAATGGAAGAGGCTCTGTTCCTCCTGGTGCTCCCGCAAATCAAACAGCGCAAAGGGTTGATAACAACACCTCGAGGGGTGAGGTCGGCTTTGACTAGATCGGGGGGATCGACAATGGATCTGGTAACAACAATAATAATAATCCCTTCAAAACCGAGCTCATGCGGTTTATGAGGGAAATAAATGCTCGAATGGACCAAATTCCGATAGCACCACCAGTGTTGAGGGGCCTGAACTCAAAGAAATACACCCAGTTGCCGTTCAAATTGAGCGCAACACTAGAATTAATTCCAAAGCGGTTCAAAATACCAGATTTACCGAAATATGATGGGACTTCGGACCCTCAGGAGCACATCACCACCTATATAATGATGGTGAAAGGAAACAACTTGGCTCAACATGAGACTGAGTCGGTCCTGCTGAAGAAGTTCGGAGAAACCCTCATGAAGGGGGCCCTGACATAGTACTCACTTTTACTCGAACATTCAATAGATTCCTTTGAGATGCTTGCAGACTCTTTCATCAAGGCCCATGCCGGGGCCAGGAAGGTCCAGGGCCGGAAGGCAGACATATTCAGAATTTCGCAAGGTCTCTTAACTTTTTATATTTTAAGATTAAACGTGTTTTGATTGACCCAGGAAGTTCAGCCAACATCATTCAATGGAGAGTGCTGGAGCAATCCAAGCTAACCAGAAGCATCATCCCGGCAATAAAGCTCCTCGTCAGGTTCAACTTAGCGAGTGTGACAACTCGATAGGAGATCATGCTGCCCACGAACGCCGAAGGGGTCATGAAGACTACCTTATTTGAAGTAGTAGACGACGATATGGGCTACCACATAATTCTTGGAAGACCATGGCTACACGAGATGAAGGTCGTACCATCAACATATCACCAACTTCTAAAATTCCCAACTCCAGAGGGAATAAAACAAATAAGAGGAGATCAACCGGTGGCAAGGGAGATGAAAGTGGTCTCAGTTTCTAACAGTAAAGGAAATGAACACGTAGCATAGCAATTACAGGAACCGACGCATGCTCTGATCCGAATGAAAATGACAAAGGGAGGAGCCTTCTAAATCCCACCAGGTACCAAGATATTTCCAGGTACAAGAAGAAGCGGACGCGACCAAGTCCACGACGGAAGAACTCGAACAAATGGCATTTTTTGAGAAGTTTCTAGAGAAGAAGTTTCATTTGGGGACAGGACTAAACCCTGAGCTCAGGTCAGGATTTATTGAATTTCTTAAAACTAACGTTGATTTCTTTGCATGCTCGCACGCGGATATGAAAGGTATCGCGCTAGAGGTGGTCGTGCACAAGATAAGCATGGACTCCAGCATCCCACCGGTAAGGCAAAAGAAGCGCCCAATTGCCTAGGTTAGAAACAGGTTTGTTAAAGAAGAGGTAACTCGATTTCTCGATATCGGTTCAATACGGGAAGTAAAGTATCCCGAATAGATAGCTAACGTAGTAGTAGCTCCGAAAAAGAACAATAAATTTCCCAAAAGACTCATTCCCACTGCCAAACATTAATCGAATGATTAATGTAACGGCCGGACACGAGTTGATGAGTTTCCTTGATGCCTATTCCAGGTACAACTAAATTAAGATAAATCCAGAGGATCAGGAAAAAATTTCATTCATAACAAACTTTGGCACATATTGCTACAATGTGATGCCCTTCGGGCTTAAAAATACCGGAGCCACTTATCAGAGGTTCGTGAACGAAATGTTCGAAAAGAAAATAGGGAAAATAATGAAAGTGTACATAGATGATATGCTGGTTAAGTCTTTGAATGCATGTGACCATTTGAAATACCACCAGGAACCCTTCGATATCTTATAAAAATACAACATGAAGCTTAAACCCGAAAACTGTGCGTTCAGAATCAGCTTCGATAAATATTTGGGTTTTCTGGTGTCACAAAGGGGGATCGAAGTCAATCCCGACAAGATTAAAGCCATCAAGGAAATTCCAGACCAGCTGGCAAATGTGAAAGAAGTCTAAAGACTAACCGGAAGACTAGCCGCTCTAAGCAGGTTCATTTCTCGGTCTTTGAAAAAATGTCATCACTTCTTCTCACTTCTGAATAAGAAGAACAACTTCGAGTGGAATCCAAAATGCCAGTAGGTTCTAAAAGACCTGAAACGATATTTATCAAGCCCTTCGTTACTATCAAAACAGAAGGAAGGGGAATTGTTGCTAATATACTTAGCGGTCTCGGAGGTAGTGTTAAGTGTCGTTCTAGTCCGGGAGGATGAAGGTACGTAATCTCCTATATATTATGTTAGTAACATTTTATCAGGAGAGGTAACTCATTTTCCGCACCTCGAAAAACTAGCCTTAGCTCTCGCAGTCGATGCTTGAAAGCTTAGGCCTTATTTTCAATGCCACCCTATAGCCGTGGTGACAACCTTTCCCCTACGGAATGTCCTTCAGAAACCTAAATTGTTAGGTAGGCTAGCCAAATGGGCAATTGAAATTAGTGAATCTGATATTGAATATAAGCCCAAGACTGCGATCAAATCACACGTTTTGGCCGACTTCGTGGACGATTTTAGTCCTGAGCTACTACCTTTGGCCACAAAAGAAGCGGTGATGGTGTTGGATTTGGACCTTGTTCACGGACGAAGCTTCCAATGTGAAAGGGTCCGTGCTTGGGGTGGTCTTAATCACGCCCTCGAGAGAAGTCCTGAGGGTGCCCATAAAAATTGTTCCCTTGACAAACAATGAAGCCGAGTATGAGACTTTTATTACAAGACTTGAACTGGCCCATAGACTAGACCCCCATCATTGAAATACAATGTGATTCCCAACTAGTGGTAAATCAAATATATAGAATCTTCGAGACCAAAGAGGAGCGCATGCATCAAAAAATGGTTAGGGCAGGATACTACTGGCCCATATGGAACAAGACGCTAAGGCATTCATTCAGAAATGCGATAAGTGTCAATGCCATGCACCATTAGTGCACCAACCGGAAGAACTGCTGCATTTTATACTATCCCCATGGCCATTCATGAAGTGGGGGATGGATATAGTCGGGTCGTTGCCACCGGCTCCCGGGAAGGTAAGATTTCTTTTAATTTCAACTAATTACTTCACTAAGTGCATTGGAGAAGGTCCTTACCAAAAAATCGGCGAGTGCGAAGTGGTCGATTTCCTATGGGAAAACATAATCTGCCGGTTCAGAATACCAAAAGCGATTGCCTGTGACAACGGGCCACAGTGCATAGGCTCAAAAATCACCCAAGCGCAAATGGGCAGGATGAATCAACCAATAAGATGACTATTCAAAACCTCAAAAAGAGGTTGGAAGAAGCCAAAGGTAAATGGCCCGAAGAGTTACCGGGAGTGTTATGGGCATACCGGATGACGGCCAAGTCAAGCACGGGAGAGACAACTTTCTCTCTCATGTACGGAGTAGAAGCTCTGATCCCAGTGGAAGTAAGAGAACCGACCTTGCGATACTTCCGGGCGGACGAAGAAACAAACAATGAAGCATTGCTAGTTAGATTGGAGCTGCTTGAGGAGCGCAGGGACTTAGCGTACATAAGGATGGTGGCCTAGAAATAAAGAATGGAAATGTACTATAATCGAAGGGCCAATCT